TCTCTACACTTTTCCCCCATCAAACACTCCCAGGACAGGGACAGCACGGGGTTAGATACAGAGTAAAGCTCTCTCTACACTGTTTCCCATCAAACACTCCCAGGACAGGGACAGCACGGGGTTAGATACAGAGTAAAGCTCTCTCTACACTGTTTCCCATCAAACACTCACAGGGCAGGGACAGCACGGGGTTAGATACAGAGTAAAGCTCCCTCTGCACTGTACCCCATCAAACACTCCCAGGACAGGATCAGCACAGGGTGGGAGAGGGAGTAAAGCTCCCTCTACACTGTCCCCCTTCAGACACTCCCAGGACAGGGACAGCATGGGGTTAGATAAAGGGCAATTTTCTGACTGCCGATATGGCACACTATTATTTTAGCTGTAAACTCGTTTGCCAGTGTGACATTTTAATTTTCAAGTGCAGTTTTCCCATGGGTCCCTGGAGTAAGGTTATTAATCTGGTGCAATTATAAGTAAATTATAAGCAGTTTGCTGAATTATGAAGGTCTGATTCTCCAAACTACTTTTCATCAATAACTGCAATCTGTAATTTCTTGCTATTAATCTGCTCTGGAATAAATGGAAAAAGAAAAATCAAAGGCCATTCTCTTGTGAGCTAAGAGCGGCATTGCCCGAGAACTGAGACCAGTTTCACATTTACTGTAATCTCATAAATACTGCTGCAAATATGAGTGCCCCTGTCCCCAGACATTCATTTTTGCTTTCTTTTTGTATGACAGCCTGTGACCTGATGACTCAAGGAATCCTCGCCCTGGTCTCCTCCACCGGCTGCCCCTCAGCCACCGCTCTCCAGTCGCTTACAGATACCATGCACATTCCTCACCTCTTTGTACAGCGCAGCAACGCCGGCTCCCCTCGCACCGCCTGCCAACTCATCAGTAACCCCGAGCTGGAGGAGTACACCCTGCCCGCTAGACCTCCCGTTCGAATTGGGGATGTCATGCTGCGACTGGTCAACGAACTTCGTTGGCAAAAGTTCATTGTTTTCTACGACAGTAACTACGGTGAGTGAGTCTCTGTAGGAGTGGCAGATAACCCCATATCAGGTGCACGTTTATACTTTGAAAATCAAACAACTCGCTTTGGATGGATATCTGGATATTCCCTAAAATTCAACCCAATCCAGAGCTCGGCTTTCACGCTAAAAGCTCACATTGTCAGACTGACTCTACAGCTCATGAAAAGAAATAGGAGAATCTTTTAAAAGTTTAATCACTTCAATGTTGGATCTGTACATTGAACATTTGTGTTTTGTTTATGTTAAACAGTTACATGAATAATATAAATTCATTCTCTCAAATACACTTGTGTTTAAAATATTCATGGGAAATTTGTACAAGGTCTGGTTGAACAGTAACACAATACAGAAAATATTTATTGGTTCATTTCTGATGGTTCTGCTACACTGACAAAGACTAATCAGAAGTCAGAAATCATCCTGCACCTTGTTGTCTCGGATTCTCCAGCATCTGCAGTCCCTACTATCTCAGAAATCATCCTGTTGGGAATATTTAATGTTTCACCTTTAACTCTTCAATGTCTCCCCAAACTCAGTAAATATGCTGTGTTTGAGAGTGTGGAGTGTCAGGGTGAGGAGGAGCTGACACCTTCACTAATGTTGCTTTGGACTGAGGCGATGGGATGCAGGGCAGAACAGAATCCCTTCTGTAAGTTTGCAAATTATACAAAGATCGGTGGAGTTGTGGATAATGTATAAGATTGTTAAAGCATACAGTAGGTTCTATATCAGTTGCAGATATAGGCGGAGAAATGGCAGATAGAGTTTAATACAGATAAGTGTGAGGTTCTGCACTTTGGGAGATCAAATGTTAAGGAAAAGTATACAGTTAATGGTAGGAGTCTGAACAGCATTGATGTACAGAAGGATCTGGGCGTTCAAGTCCTTAGCTCCCTGAAACTGGCCACAGCAGTAGATAGGGTGATAAAGAATACATTTGGCATGCTTGCCTTTATTGGTCAGGAAATTGAGTACAAGAATCAGGATGTCATGTTGCAGCTTTATAAGACTTTGGTAAGGCCACATTTGGAGTATTGTGTTCAATTCTGGTCGCCACATTTACAGGAAGGATGTGGAGGCTTTGGAGAGAGTGCAGAAGATGTTTACCAGAATGTTGCCTGGATAGGAGGGTATGAGCTATAAGGAGAGGCTAGAAAAACTAGGGTTGTTTTCTCTTGAGCAGAGGAGGCTGAGGGGAGACTTGAAAGAAGTTTATAAAATTATGAGATGAATAGATACGGCTGACAGGCAGAATCTTTTTCTGAGTTGAAATGTCTAATACTAGGAGCCATGCATTTATGGTCAGAGGGGGAAAGTTCAAGGAGATGTGAGGGGCAAGGTTTTTACACAGAGAGTGGTAGGAGTGTGGAACACGCTGCCAGGGGTGGTGGTGGAGGCAGATACAAATGGGGCATTTAAGGGACTTTTAGATAAATACATGAATATGCAAGGAATGGAAGGATCTGGACCAAGGCAGGCTGAAAGGATTAGTGTCATGGATTTGGTGGAAGGATTTGGTGTTGTGGTCGGCAAAACATGGTGGGCCGAAGGGCCCGTTCCTGTGCTGTACAGTTCTATGTTGTCTGTCTATAATTCAGAATGAGTTTTGGTTCATTCTTCAAAAGTCACTGAACATTTTGTCATGGAATTCAATTCCAGAGTTCAAGGATCCAGTCCGGATCTCTGGGAGACCAGTTTGACTTTTTACCCATCTGTCTGCTCCTGTTGTGTTAGTTTCTGTGTTGAGAGCATTAAGTCCTAAAGGGATGGAATGGACATGAGGGGGAGGAATATGAGGGGACAGGTAATAACATGAATTTTGATTTGAATTCTGTAACATTTTCCTTAATCAAAACTGTTTGCGTTATTGTGAGCAGCTGCTTTTAATCAATGTGGCAGCATCATTGTACATCATCACCACTGTATAGACCTCAGCTGGCAGCCTATCTGATGTGTTATACGGCTCACACTGGAGGGCCCATTCCCATTGGGAGGAAAACTGCAATGTCCTTTACACTTCTTGTTCGGACACTCTTGTTCCTGTAATTCACAGGAGCCCGAGGATTTGGTGTGGTCGTGATCCCAGGCAATTACACTGACAGCCATGGAGTAGGCAGTAAATTGTTAGAGAGTATTGAACCAGGCCTTCGTTGCTGAGTCTAAACTCTGACAATGTAGAGGGTCATCCACAGCCAGGAATTGGAACTGCTGCCTCTGTTAGATTAAAGAGCTCTGGATAAAGGGATTCCTTTGTAAAGCACACACAGAAGTCTTTAGGGATCAACGTTTGAACTCAGGCTGTGTCTGAATAACTGTCAGAAACTGACAAATCTGTGTCCGGTTAAGTGGATAATTTTAGTTTAACAATTATTCAACACACTTGAGTTATGGTAGTGATCAGAGAAAATAATGGAGGGAGGCTGCGATGTCAGTGGATTATGTATTTGCTGTGTCTTTCTGAGGGGTGTGTTTGGTTCTGAATATGAAACTGTTAACAGTGGGAAACAGTCCTGTGCATCCTCAGTGACTTACTCAAGTTTCCCGGCTTATATTTTGTCCTCTAACCAAACCAGCTGGAATACAAACTTGGAGGCTTTCACATCATCAAAGATGTTGGATTATTTGAAGTTAAACGATTTTATCTTGACTGTTAACTTGACTGGATTTGAAGTGGTGGCTGTTTATTCCGGGTGTTAGATATTCTCCAAAAAACTGCTCAAGTGACATCAACACTACCTGTCTAATAATAGGTTCTACTTGATCAATAATATTTGTAAACATTTGATGATCAGATCCTCAATTACTGCAAATTAAATAGTTTTATCGTGCACAGATTGATATTTTTACCAGACTATATTTACCAAACTAATACCAGGAATGGGTGGGTTGTCTGATGAGGGAGGGAGGACACGTTATGTTTGGAGTTCAGAGGAGTAAGAGGTGACTTAATTTGAACAGATAAAATCCTGAAGGGATCTAACAGGGGGTGCGGAGAGGATGTTTCCTCTCGTGGAGATTCTCGAATGAGAAGTCACTGATCAAAACCCAGGGATCTCCTATTTCAAACAGATGAGGCAAATGTTTTTCTCTGAGGGTCCAGAACTCTCTTCCCAAAAGGACATTGAAAGTTGGGTCCTTTAATATTTTTAAGACAGAAGTGAGTGGATTGGTGTTAAACAAAGCAAGGGTGAAAGTTTGTTGGGGGTAGATGGAAATGTGGATGTTGTGTTACAATCAGATCAGCCATGATCTAATTAAATCGCAGAAAGGTTTCAGAGGCTGAATGGTTTACTGCTGCCCGTAGTTCATAAATTATATCAAAAAGTTGGTGAATGTGAAGAAGTAAATGTAGAATAATTAAAGAAAAGAATCAGAAATGAAATTTACATGTTTTTTTGTAATACTTAGAAACCGTAATGGTTATTGTGAGACCCGTTGTGATCAATACAATCAGAACAAGCTACAAATGTAGACCATTCAGCTCTTCTAGCCTGCTCTGCCATTCAATAAGATCACGGCCACTCTAATTTTAACCTCAACTCTGCATTTCTTTGTATTTAACTCGTGGGATATAGCTATAGCTCATCAGGCAGCATTTATTACCATCCCTAGTTTCCCGATATTCCCTGATATCTTTCATCTCCTTGGGTAACCAAGAATCTTTATACCTCTCCTTTCTGGTTTCTAAGTCAAAAAGTGTGGGTTCAAGTCCCAGAGCAGGATTGGATTTTGAATGCTTACCAGTGCTGCACTGGGGGAGTGCTGTCCTGTTGGAGACATCATCTTTGTGATGAGATATCAGGCCATCTCTGCTTGAACATTAACCTTGGCTGTGGCACCATTCGTAAAGGACAACAGATGTTCTTGACTAACTACATCAGAACCTGATTCGCTGGTCCTTCAAGTTATGCTATGTGTGAAATCTTACAGTATGCAACATGGCCTCACTGTTCACCAACATAACACCCCCTTGAAAATCAATTCATTGAATCCAATGTGCTTTGAGGTGTGTGTGAGAGAAGCAGTTTAAGGTGTTCCATAAATGAAAGTCCCTTTATAAAGTTGTCAGGAGAGTGACAATAGAGGGTTACAATAATGGTATCAAATGTTTATTGTACTGTGTGCATTGTCAGGATAATTCAGTAAGCTGCAGGAATGGGGATACAAAGTCAGGCCAAGTGCAGTACAAGGAGTTACCTATAAAAATAGAGTTACTATCTAATGTGCTACATCCCTACTGTCAGCACCACATATACTTCTCACCAAATGGCTAATTGTGAAACAGCTTTGGCAAGATTGAGAACAGTTTCCTGTCCATTTCCCATTCTCCCTTTAAATTGTGGGCCATTTCTCATCATCTGGAACTCCCTGTGGGAGAGAGGAATAAAGGAAGGGAATTTTGGAACTAATAGCTTCTTCTTTTGTCCCTCATGGGCCATGTTAAATTGACAGGCAATTCCCATCTGTAGCCGAGTGTGGATTCTTGTGACCACAGGATATTGGGATTATTGTCCCATTGGCTGTACTCAATAATGTTAACGGGCTGTTTTCCAAATGTCTTAGAGGAATGTTTAAATGTTGGGATGTAAAACTGGCATTGACATTGACGATCAACATTGGTTTCAACAATTAGCACGCTCAATCTGAATGAATATTTGAGGTGGTTTCTACTTTCAGCCATAAATCCACAATGCCAGTTTTATACTCAGTTAGCAATTTCAAAATTTATCCCTTAGAATCAGAGAAGAACCTTTGGGAAAAGTGAGGCCTATTTTAACAGCATCGCCATTGATGAGCTGTCTCATAACATGCATATTTAACTGGAGCCCAATATACAGTGAAAGTGGAAGTCAAAGTGGGATGTGTGAATGTTAAACTTCTAGACATGTATTCAATTCAAACACAACACGCCCTCAATATGGCTGGATATGGTGGTACAAGCCCACTCAGAGAATTTAAAAACCTTCATAAAATTGACCTTTAGAA